CCTATTTTTGCTCACTGTAAAACCGTAATTAATAAAACTTCTCGTTTAAATCTCGCGTTTTATATGTGCCAAAGGAAAGAGTTCAACGAAGTAATAATTAATAATTACCACTCAAATCGGGTCATTTTTGCATTCAATGAATAGGTTGACATGCATAAATGTCGAAATGGTTCACATTCATGCACTTTATAAAATCGCGGAAAAAGAATATGTGACTACACTATTCATTGTTATTCTTTTTCACACATGTAGATTCATTTCATTTTTAAAAAACTTCCCAAGGGGGATCGAAATTTACTGATGCCGGTGATGGGAATAATAAAAATAATCCAAATAATAAACTTACTCCATAATTTGTAAAAATGCGAGATCAAAAACTGACTCAAAACTCAAAAACTCTCTTTTTTAAACACATGCAAAATCCCAATATACCATTAAAATAAAAGAAGGTTCTGTGTATTTGGAAAATTTCACATTCCCATTCGAGTAGTTGGTTTAATCAGACAGATTGCACAGGACAGGAAAATGAAAGATTAGGATGATCTACAACAAAAAAGATACCAGATGCCTCATATTTGAAGCCGCTACGTCAACGAACGTAGCACTGACCTTCACGCCGAACCTTGAAGTGATAGAAAACACAAGGTTCGATTCAGAAATCGAGAGAGATAGTAAAACAATCTCTGGCGTGAAATGAGGCCAAACATTACGGAACAGAGGAAGCACTTTCCGGGATTGCCTGCATTAGGATGCGATAACTTGCTACAAATTCAAAAAATAGATATGGTATGCAAATGCTCAATATTAAATAATGTTCCAGCCGTCTACTTGACATTTTTAGATTTGGTCCCTCTTTTGGACACTGATCGAGGTGTTCAAATATGAACATCTATCATCTTGTTCTTTATCAAATACAATATAATTGTCCTCTCGAATTTTTCAGGCGCAAGTATTAAACCTTTTAAAGATTTCCGTGCCAAGTTTCATCATATAACTCCAATCTATAGAATGGAGCTGTCTTTTTTATTTTAAACCTCGATCTTTATTTCCGATCTCCCAACTATCCGATTTTTATAATCGTCCTGATCATCCAAAAAATAATTAGTTTTTGATGAAACACAGAATACATAATTATCAGTTGTACATTGCACTCGGGCAATATATATTCGTGAATGGCTATAACGCACTTCCTACTGTGAATCAACTTCACCTCAAAGGTTTAATTGTTTTCCGTCCCGTTTTTAAAATTCTGTACGAGAGGTGATTTCGCAACTCCTTTGGGCATCTCTTCAATAGCTATTGATTTTCCGTCGTTTTCCCAATTGCTTTCAGTCATCTGGAACTATTTGCCGATAGGGTTTGGTTTTTATGCCATAAACGAGCGGAGATGAGGAATGTGGTTTGGTTAATGATGAATACGTAGGCAATTTTCCAAGGGCAAGTTTTCAGTATTATTTTATAGTACAAAATTCAAGTATCTCACTTTCAAATGCTGGCGATTAGCCGGAACTTTTGATTTACTCCTTCGTACAGAGTTTCCTGTTAATGAAAAGATACGTTGGTGGGATTGCGATTGACAACGAGGATTTGCATAGCGGATTTCAAATACAGGAAGTAGGATTTCATGGGACGAGAGCATTTCTTTTCGACGAAATAAATATATTGGAATAGAACGTTTGGTAGCTGGTAGAGTTTAATAGTTCTTTTCACGTAGCATTCTTCTTAGATTTTGCAGATGGTGTTACAATAATAGGTATGTAGTCCATGCGGGAAATGAATAGGTTTTTATTAATGTTCAAAGGAAACCGTTCTGAGCGCAGGATTCCGGAATTCCCGTTGCAGGGATAAAGTGGAACACGCGTGGCGTTATTGACAGTTGCCATCAAATATATTCCTAATAGTTTGATAGTTTTCAAACTCATTGATTCATCATTCTTTTCTTGTGGGATTCCTTTTGAGTGTTTTGAAGAGGAATTGGAAGCATTTTGTGCGGGGATAAATGTTTGTATCAGTTTGTATAGCTTCACAACCATGGAGTGGAATAAGGTCTTTCATCTCTATATTGTTCAATACAAGCAAGCAGGTGACTCAACTGCTTATGATGGATATTTACTGAATCTCGGACTAGGCAACGAATACCGTACATGACACAATTTCTACTTTTTGTAGAATTCTCCGTCAAAGTATAAGCAGTAGGGCCCTAATCGCGGTACATGAAGTGTCCAATATTTTTTATATTCCAAACATGAACCAATTCTCGTTCGTAATATCTTCCGCGAAAACGTAAATATCCACAACATCCATAATCTTTATAACCGTATAAGGCATGTCCATTTGGTACAAATATGCTAATTGAGTCTTTGACCAACATTTGAAGCGTAACAAATGCAAAAGTCTGTCAAGCAGAAAGCAAAAGTCCGTCAAGCAGCTCCAAATAAAAAAAAATGCATTGCTTATGTGTGATTCTATAAGAGATATTATTCTAAACAAATAGATGCAAGGAAGTTAAGAGACGAGGTAAAGAATATGCCTTTTAATACACTAATATGAAAACTTGGGTACGGTAAACTTATTATTTCCAAACAAATGTATACATGCAGGCAAAGACCAAACACAAACCAATGAATTACGTTGTGATAATTATTTAGGAAACTTGCATGTCAATGTCTGATCAAAACAACTATGAATAGGAAATTACGACGAAAAAGCGGAAAACGACAGTGCAGGGGACCAGGTGGGAATTTTCCTTTCAATTTATAATACCAGGAATGAAAGGAATCTACATCAGTAAAATATATCACAACAACCCATCTAAAATATGGCAATATAAAATATGTATTTTCCTATAAAACTTCCATCGATGATCAATTCACAGTAAAAATGACCCGATGAATGCGAAGTTGTAAATTTTGCTGAAGAGTCGAATTCAGATTTCGATTTTATAGATCAGGTCATGATATTAAAAAATAAGCTTATTCTGGTGTTTCAAAAATCAAGGACATAACGGTTTTAGTATAATTTTTGCATTGTTGGAAAGCTAATTGCAACCAATTGAACTCTACTTCGTTGTACTGTATTTCACATTATGTTTATAAATTTACTGGTCATTCAAAACTCAATTGAATTCCCTTTTACACAGTTTTGCTGATCCAGTTCAGGAGGCCGAAATAATGAACACCACTACAGAGAAGAAAATGACTGGCTCATTGATGGCTCTTTTGTTTGAAAGAAAAACCATAGCTGAGTCATCCGTAACCGGGAAAGGAAAAGAAGGACGGCCTGCCTTGAATCAAGAGAAAGTCTAGTTGATCATTTGTAAGTTGAAACAATTTGTAGCATATATTGACTGGCAATGCAAATATTTGCTACCGAAAGCTGCAAAATTAACTGACTTGCTTTCGGTTTTTTCTTAGCCCATGTGATTAAAAGGTTTCCAGGAGCTACATGCATCAGTGAAGGCTGCCATGGCCCAAAAGTGCAAGGATGAGATAATTGCGGAGAAGAGAAGAAGGAAAGTTGCAGAGGAGAATTAATTGCTAAGTTTGATACCTTCTTGTATATATGTATATGAATATTTATTTAGTTATAGCTTGTATTTATCTTGTATATTATTTATTAGTTCTATACTGGAAATTTTTAGAACTAACCACAAAAATATATTATTTAAACCTTCCATCTGCAAAGTTATATATAAAATTTTCATTGTTGAACCAGCTTCACATAATTTCACGTGTGGATTAGGAATATATGAAATCTCACATGTGAAATTTCACAGGTCCCTTCACATAACTTCACATGTGAAATTCCACAGGTTTCAATTCCACAAGTGAAATTTCACAGGTCCCATCACATAACTTCACATGTGAAATTCCACAGGTTCTAAATCAACAAGTGAAATTTCACAGGTCCCATCACATAACTTCACATGTGAAATTCCACAGGTTTTAAATCCACATGTGAGATTTCACATATGTGAAATCATGTGGATTTTTCGTATGGGATTTGCTGCTAAATACGAGCATAGAGGCAACCGTCAGACAAATATTTTAAGGGCCATTTCATAAACTCAATTTCGATGAAAAGAAAATATTAAAAGTCGTTTGAAAAAGCAGATTTTTCATTTTTATGATAGAACATACATCTACGTTTCCACATATAATGTTTAAATTGACAGAAATAAATTTTCCTAAGAAATATGCATCCCAATGGGATACTAGGAGTCAATAATTTTGAAACAGTGTTAGATTTCACACATTGATTTAATTCAGCCGTATTTCGATTACTGCTTCCCTTTGTGGGACACTTGTGATAACGTCTTAAAGGATAAATTGCAGGTACTCTAGAACCGTGCGGTTAAAGGGATTACTGTGCAAATTACGATGTCAGTCCCAGCATGATATTGCAAAAATTAAATTTAGACACTCTTAATGTCAGACGTGCTAAATTGAAGAGTGTTTTGTTGTATAAGGTCCTCAATGGACTTTCAGCTCCGGGCCTGACTAAGAATTTTATAAAACTCCGAGATTTGGAAGGCTGCTATCATCTGCGAAATTATGACACTGATTGAAAGTTACCAAAACCAGTAACCAGTTTTTTAAAATGCAGTTTCAATTACAGTGCGTCAAGTATGTGGAATATTCTTCCGATAGCGGCAAAAAAAGCTACCTTAGTTAGGCACCGCAAGCGTTCAATCTCAAGTCTTACATTTAATCTGTAATATAGAATAATTAATTAGTCTTTCATACTTTTATCTCTTTTTTTGTAAATATTGTACTATTTTCAATTTTTTTGTATTATTACACGCCACTCCTGGAAATCAGCTCTTTTTAGAATTGAGTGGGGATAGCATGCTTTAAATAAAGTAATGATGATGATGATTATAATGTTTGCTTATATGAAGTAAATGTATATAGATCACGTGTTAACAAATAGATTAAGGAAGGAACACAATAATGGCGACGAGAATGGTAAAATAAATACGAAGTTACAAATACGCAAACATGGCCACTGCACTTCCAGTTTTTCCAGAATTTAATCTACGAGACCCAAGCAACTTAGCTGCAAGATGGGAAAAATACTTAAAGAGATTTAACAACCTAATGACCGCTATGAACATCACAGATGCGGGTCGGAAACGTGCTTTGCTTTTACATTATGTTGGCGAGGAAGTCAATGACATCTTTGACACATTAGCAGATAAAGGAGACGACAACGAGTTCAAGGAGGCCTGCGATGCGTTAACAAAATATTTTACACCGACGAAGAATGTATCATTTGAAATATTTAAGTTTCGAAATTTGAAGCATGAATCACACGAAACCGTAGACGATTTTCATACACGACTACAGATTGCAGCAAAATATTGTGAATTTGGTGATAACAAGGATAAAGAGATCAAAGCGCAGATAGAGTTGGGAACAATAAATAAGAAACTACGTCGATATTCATTCCGCACACCTGCTCTTTCATTAACAGAAATATTAAATTATGCGAGAACACTTCATGAGACAGAGAAACAAGCTAAAGGAATCGAAGGAGTTCCTCGTAACTCTCCCAAATCGTGCTGCGATAACAGTGCAGACGATGTTCACAAAGTCCAGTCGGAAAGACCAAATCGTCAAGAGATGAGTTCAAATAAAAGATTTCAACAACCTCGTAAAGGTTCCTATACGCAGGTAAAACCACCTGTAACGCTCCAATCATCGAAACGATGTTTCCGTTGTGGATATTCGTGGCCCCATAATGGAGGAAAATGCCCAGCTGAGGGACAGAGATGCAGCAACTGCTTTAAGTACAATCATTTTGCAAAAGTATGCAATTCAAGAGACAAGAAACAAAATCAAAATTCTGCTAATGCTGTGCAAAACGATGCTCAAGATTTACAAAGCACCAAGGATGAGGACAGTACTGACAGTGAAGAATACAGTTTCAGCGTATATAAAGGCAAGGGACCTTGCGAGACCAGCACAAATAAACAAAACAAGCAGTTGTTTCATACCAAATTAAAATTGGGCAAGTCAACCATTAGATTTCAAATAGATAGTGGATCATCAGCCAACATCATTGATGAACACACCTTCTCCACCATCCAAAAAGAAAACCCGTCAATTAAACTGAAAAAGTAAAAAAAACGACTTTATGCTTTCGGCAGTACAGCACCACTTCCATAACTTGGACAGTTCTATTGTGTTTTGGAATCTAAGAAACGACTTGCTAGTGCAAAAATAATAGTTGTCAAGAATGCTACTGGTTGCCTTTTGAGTGGACAAACTTCTATTGATTTAAACTTCCTCAAAATCAATGTCAATAAGATAAACAAACCTACCTTCAGTAAATTGGCAACACACACAAAGATTCCAGCTCGTTTAAAACCTACTATTACTGAATTTGATGAAGTCTTCCATGGCATTGGAAAATTAACAGATTTCCACGCTCACCTTCACATTGACGAAGATGTCAAACCTGTTGTACTACCCACAAGACGAATTCCATTTGCTTTACGAAAGAAAGTTGAACACGAATTACACCAACTCCAAGCACACGACATCATTGAACCTGCAAGAGGACCATCACTTTGGGTGAGTCCAATAGTAGCATTTCCTAAACCTAACAACCCTGATAAAATTCGATTATGTGTAGACATGCGCCAGGCAAACACAGCAATTTTACGAGAAAGACACCCTCAACCAACTGTTGAAGACCTTCTTAATGATTTGAATGGAGCTCGATACTTCAGTAAACTAGATTTAACATCAGCCTATCACCAGTTAGAACTTGATGAACAATCCAGATACATTACAACTTTTACAACACATAAAGGGCTATTTCAATATAAACGTTTAAACTTTGGAACAAACAGTGCCAGCGAGATATTCCAAAACACTATTCAAAATGTGTTTAATGGCATTTCTGGTTGTCGAAACATTAGTGACGATCTCATCATTTTCGGTAGTAGTCAAACAGAGCATGACCAAGCCCTACGAAAAGTTTTACAAATTGCCAAAGAGAGGCATTTGAGATTTGGCTTTAACAAGTGTGAATTTGCAACAATTAGAATTCTTTGGCTATGTCTTTTCTCCCAGTACAAGTAAAGCACGTGCAATAAAAGATGCACCAACGCCAAAAAATGCCTCTGAAGTACGATCATTCTTAGGGATGCTTCAGTATTGCGGACGATTCATTCCCAACTTAGCCGAAATATCAGCCCCACTTCGCTTACTAACCCACAAAGACGTTAAATGGAATTGGACTTCTCGCCAGCAGAAGGCATTTGAGATCCTTAAAGAAATGCTAACTACAGACACCGTCATGTCATATTTTGATCCCTCAAAGCAGACAGAGTTGCATGTTGATGCTTCTCCATTTGGCCTTGGAGCCATTTTGACCACGAGTTCACTTTAATCACAGATCACAAGCCGTTAGAGTTAATATATCAGAATCCCAAGTCACGCCCTTCTGCTAGATTAGAAAGATGGTGTCTACGCCTGCAAAACTACACATTTCAAGTCAAGTATCGCCCGGGTCCCACCAACCCGTCTGACTACTTATCCAGACACCCTATACCTACGTGTGACGACAGGAACGAGCCTACAAAACGTAACCTGGCTGATGAACATGTTCGTTTTGTTGCGCGGAATGCCGTTCCTGTTGCCCTTAATATAGAACAGATTCGGGAAGCTGTCAAGCAAGATTCAACGATGCAGACACTCATTACTGTCTTGCAAAATAATACGTGGAAGTCATTGAAAACCGACAATAATGATAACACTGATATTGACGTTGCTGAACTTAAAGCCTTTGAAAAGGTACAACAAGAGTTGTCATTAACACCGGAAGCGGACTTAATTCTGCGGAGAAATAGACTAATCATTCCCAAGCAATTACGTGAACATGTAATAAAACTAGCCCATGAAGGCCACCAAGGTCTTGTCAAGACAAAGAAACTACTCCGCGAAAAGGTATGGTTTCCAGGTATTGATGCTTTAGCGGAAAAAGCTGTGAAAGAATGCCTTGCATGTCAATCCGTTGGACAACCCGCGAAACCTGCTCCTTTACATACGATGGAAATCCCTCCGCAGGCATGGGACACTGTATATGCTGATTCCCTTGGACCGTTGCCGAGCAAGGACCTGCTGCTCGTAGTGATTGATGGCCGCACCCGATTTCCCGAAGTCGAAGTTGTTCATAGCACTAATGGAAAATCGACAATAAAATGCTTTGATCGCATCTTTGCCACACATGGATTGCCGAGAACAATTGTATCAGACAATGGGCCACCATTTCAAAGTGACGAAATTCGTCAATATATGAGAACAAACGGTATAAAACATCGCAAAATCACGCCCTTATGGCCTCAGGCCAACGCTGAGGCTGAGACATTCATGAAACCACTAAAGAAATGTCTTCAAACTGCAGTGATTGAAAACAAAGACTGGAAACAAGAATTACAGAAATTCCTAATGAATTATCGGGCAACACCGCATTGTACGACTAAAATACCGCCTGCTACAGCGCTCTTTGGACGGACTATTCGCACGAAGATACCCCACCAAGAAGTGAACACTGATATGAAAGAGATAAACAAACGGATAAATGAAGCTGACGCTGAAACCAAAATTAAATCCAAAGCATACGCTGACAAACGTCGTGGGGCACAACATTCTAATTTCAAGATAGGAGATCAAGTTTTGGTTCGACAAGAAAAACGAAATAAACTAGCATCAAGGTTCAATCACAAACCATATAAAATTACGGACAATAAAGGAACAATGATTACGGCACGTCGACATGACCACCAAATCACGAGAAATTGCTCCCACTTTAAGATATTTACTGGAAAGTCGTGGGAAGAGAGTTCAGATAGTGATAACGAAAGTGACGCAGTCATGCCAAGAGAAGTCGGTCAACAACCTGGTCAAGACGTTGAGGCACAAGGAAGAGAAGAAGAACCAGCTGAACATCAAGAAAGACAACGTAGATATCCACTAAGGATAAGACATAACCCTCTGTTCTATCGGGACGAGCAGAATGTATATTAAATAATAAGACAAGTAAACTATTATTGATAATTTGTAAAAGAGCACGTTATTTAGATACTTGCTGATAATTATCGTTGATGATGATGATGATGATGACATGTCACACACGCATCATTTCATATTTTTATTTCATGCTACTTGCTACCAACTTATGAAAATGAGTAACTTCGCAGAATTTTTGTTTAAATTTTTTAGGTGAGAATATTTTTTTCCCTGAGTCACACGCGTCATCACCAAGAATTCCTGAAAAAGCATTCTCAATGCTTACATGTAACCAAGTTTTGTCATGCATGATAGCTTACTTGTAGGTGTACATCATATGTAAGCATAAAATCATCACTGCCATGTGAACTTTAGAGAGAATTTAGTAGATTTTGTTCTCTGAATGTCTCTGAAGCGATCCTCGACTTGCACGGCAAAAGCTAAATTCGCTTTTGAGCAAGAGCTCATATCGATGTGGAATAATTGTGGATATACAAAACTGCGAAGTTACGTACTATATACTACACAGTTTACTCTCCATGTGGTTTTTTTCACTAACGGCTCAGTTTTGAAAATAAATTTGGTCATACGTTTATAGGTGATAAACTAGTTATTGCATTTTCGGTGCTGTCGAATTTGCTGGATACGAGGGGGGGGAAGACTAGTTATGAGCTAGTGACAATAATTGAGTTGTGATTTTGTAGATATATGTAAAATCACTTCGCATGCAAGGAAATTGATTATTATTAAAATTGCGCACCTTACACATATATTCCTGGTCAGTAGAGTAAATATTGCTATTTTTGCTGTGGTTGCATTTGGTTTGTGTCAATCTAGCTACCGGTACCGATATTTTTGTCGATATTTTTGTGGTCAAGTTTACAAAACAGATGTGTAAGAAAAATTTCCACAAACTTTTGTGTTGCTGTGGATGCATTTTCCTCGTGTAAATTTACCGATGTTTTTAGTAATATTTAGTAATATTTACACATTCAATGTGCTCTCATATTAATGCAAGTCATACTCATTCGTTTAGTTCAGAGAATACAAGCGCTTGGTACATTAGAACTTAAGTGGAGTGGAACTTGACTTCTTGGCATCAATTTGAAGTCAAGATCTATTTATGCCCATTTTGGGCTCTAAATGACAAATGACCGACTGATTACGTAACCAAGTAAAAAACAAATTACACTGTATGTACTTACTCTACCGAGGTTGATGAACAACGTTTAATCGTGCAAAAGGAGAACAGGCTTACGATCCAGCTTTTCGAAACACAGCCTTTAATTCCAGCGTCGTTTAATAATTTCCCTCCAATTCTTAGACGGTTGCCGGTAGCTGCATCTAAATACGTATGAGGAAAACGTGTAAAAGGATTTACGGATACGTGTGTCCTCGTCAAACAGAACGCTACGTGTAGCTGTTAAAAAAGACATGCCATTACAGAAACAAATACCTTTATTTGTAATATCATTTCAATTGAACCTGGATTGAAGGGTCACGGACGGGGATTTGGCACGTGACGCTTAATACAGGTCTTGTAGAAATTAACACGCGGCCTAAATATACCGTTTAATAAATAGGCTATAACTTAATTTGAAAAAATCAGAAATACATTGGATTCCACATATCAAGTAACCGATTAAAAAGTATATACATAAATCCAAAAAATGAGAAGGTCTGACACACTCCGGTAAAGTACAATGAGCTATAGAAGGCAAGAGTCTTAACAAAGATTTGGGCAATAGAAATTCCGTCTGAGTATCATTTTTATAGCAATACATTTCTGTGTCAGTGGCTGAAAGGAAAGTTGACACAGGAAAAACGTCTTCAGTAAGATAGTTCCCCTAATATTGAGATATAAAATATTGGGTACGGTATGGAATGGTCCAAAAATACATGAAAACTCCAGAGCTGTATAGCCGTAGACAGGCCTGATAGGTTTTTTATGACAATTATATATTTGCACAATAGAGTTACAAAAATTTAGCCTCCTTTCAGCACATCTAATTCTTTGAAACATTTTTTTTGGTTTTTCGATCTGCAAAGAAGTTGTGAAATTATTTAAAGATCTTTGATTCAATATGTAAATACTTCAACATATA